TGATACCGACAAGATTTACTAGTATCAGCGCCTGGTGAAGTGGAAACTCTCTTCGGAACTGCCAGCACTTCCGATGCCAAAGCTTGCTCAAGTACCGCGGCTCGGCTTGCATTGAGGGGAGTATAGTGAGTGTACTTCGGACCTCGTGCAGGTCGATCTCGAAGATTTATCTCCTTTCCTCGCCCCCTGTATGGTTGTTCTGCTTGTTTTTCGGGTTTGCCCAATGGTTCTCGAGCTTGATTGCGGTATTCAGCCAATTCTTCCATTTGCATATATTTATCGGCCTCCTCCGTAGGTCGTTCATGTCCGAAGGAGGCTTTTTGCAGATGCTATTGACAAACGGTCCAGGCTTTAAGGCCGTTGTGAGGTGATGAAGTGCAACGGCGGGATTGAGGTCTTGGATTTCCAAGGCTGCCTTGTTAAACCGATCCATAAAAGTCCGAAGCGACTCCTTCTTGTCTTGCCGAAGACCAACCAGCGATAGAGACATCAAGCTGTGAGGACGACTCGTTGCAAACTGGATGGTGAATTGCGATGACAGAGTGTTAAATGAGTCGATAGAGTTGGGAGGGAGCCGAGTGAACCAACTTAGGGCCCTGCCTTTGAGGGATGTTGGGAAGATCCGGCACAAGGCAGCATCATCAGTCGTGCTCAGCGTTACCTGTGTTAGAAAAATATCAAGATGTTCATCAAGGTCTGTTGTATTGTCATAATTGTCAATAGGCAAGGATTTCCAGTTGTCCATGAGAGGAAGTTGCATAATGAAGGGGGTAAAAGGGTGGCGGTGCGATCCAATGGTTGCCAAGTCTGTAGGACGACCAACTGTAGGTTGAGCCGAAGGGAATTTTTCAGGCACCGCTGCCGAGGCATGAGGGGCCGAGGTATGGACCCGCTGGGATTGAAAGGACCCCTGAGTTTGCGTGTTGGTAGTCTGAGTAGGCTTCCACGACGAATCTTGATTTTTCAGCACCTCATTTTCGGCCCTTAAGGTCGAAAGCTCCTTTGCATCTTTCTCCCACTGTTGCTTCATCATAGCCATCTCTTGTTTCAACAGACGAACGGTCTCGGAGAGATCGGTTTCGTCTACAACTTCAACACGTTCTTCTTGGGTCTGGTGATCTTCCGCATTCGTTCTTCTTGTAATCGCCATTGCTTTACTTTGTTAATATTCACCACAACTATCTCGGTTCGGCCCCACGGTGGGCGCCAAAATGTACCTGTCTGAAGGGCACACTAGTAATCTTCTCGTACTCAAAAGGACCGAACGAGAGCTCCGATCAAATATTCCGGTGAGGGGGATGTACCTGCAAAAGGCACTCCGACGCTCAAGTCAGGACAAGCACAGATATCGATAATAATTAATGAACAGTGACATTACCTCGTGACATGAGCTATTTATACTGACATTTATGGACCCTGAACCCCATGGGTCCTGCAACATTCTTACCGTATTAGGTAATACGCCTTAATCGGTTTATCGGTGTACTTAATCCCTAATTATTGATTAAGGGTAATAATCAAGTGTAGGACGATCAATTTTATATTAAAATTCGCATGAAAAGTCACATGTAATAAGAAAAATTCTAGTAGCGAAACTACATAAAAGATTCATAAAATGTCTCAATGAATAGAGGACTCATAATTGTTTTCCCAAAATAAGAAAATTCTAAAGGTACTTTAAAACTTAAATTTCATGGGTAGTAAAATATCTGAAAATCAAATGTGATTCTCCAAACTATTATAATATCAAAAGAAACTAACAAAAGTTTCTAGATAAAATATAAACCAATTCTAATATGATAATTGTAAAGAAACATAAAATCAAAGATTTTGGTGTCACATTCTATTAGGACACAACCTAACAGGTGACCAAGGTCTCAAGCTTCATCAAAGCATCATCCTACTAATGATCATCTCAAGTATTAGGGATGAAAGTAGGTCATGTTAGACTTTAAATATATAGGTCAGACCTGTTGTATGAAATTAAATTTATGCATGAATTGTCTATCTTACGTCAATGTTTTTTTATTTTAAACTCTAAATTTTAATAATAATAGAGTAAACTATTTTTCTTATACCGCAAATTAAAAAAAGACTCACATTTATTTAAACAAAAACATAATTGTTGGCTAATAAAATAAATTAAAAGAAATATAATTAAAAGATTAAATATAAAAATAAAAGAATAATATTTTTTTACATAAAAATAGAGTTAGACATAAGTACTTAATAAATTGAATTTAAGTTCAAATTATTTTAATAATATTCAAGTTCGATTCTTGATGAAAATAATTCTTTTATCATTTTATTTATCTTCCGCCTAAACCAAAATAGTCTAGAGTGAATGACATTGATGCTCAATAAAAAAATAAAGAAAATAACTTTATACCTTATTAATGTTGGTTAATAGATAGTAATTTGTATTTTAATTAAGATATTTAGGATTTAAATTCTAATTATATATATAAAATAGATTATATTCGGAGTAAAATACTTATTTATGTGTATTTATAATTCTTAATAAAGATTATTTATTATTTTTAATAATAAATACTTCATATTAATATTATAATTATCATAAAAATAAATTACATCCTACAAGAATAATAGTTACTTTTAGATAATTATAATATTAATATAAATATTTATTATTAAAAATGATGATTAATCTCTATAAAAATCGTGAATGTATATAAAATAAATATTTTTAAAATATAATTTATTTTATATTTAAAATTAAGATTTAAATCTTAAATAATTTAATTGAAAGACATAAATTATTGGAACTAGTGACAACCAATATTTGACAAAAGAATAATAGTTTGATATGAGTGAAAGTGAACTATAATTTTTAGTTAATTGTGAAAGCAATGCATGATTAATATGCTTACAAGAGAAATAAGAAAGAATGTAAAAAAAAAAAAACACATTTAATTAAGAGAATAGAGAGTGTGAATCTCACAATTTATATTCTATATTAATCAAGTCATATAATAATATAAAAGTTGTGATTCCACATTTGTCCTTTTCATAATCAAATATTCGGATTTAATTTTTATTTAAGTATTAAGTCATATCATTTTATTTATAAAGAAGTTAAACTGGTAAAATAAATTATACTTTTTATTAAATTAAAAATAATAATATAGAATTAGATATAAAATTATTAGTAACACATCTAACTTTTAAGGGTTGAAATCTTTGGTAGTAACATTTTCACTTGTCAATAAATTATTTAATTTATTTTATGAAAAATATTATAAACTTGTGTTTAAATAGTATAAATGGATGACATTAAATTAATTTATTCTCATATTAAATTTCAATGGAGAGATTTCACTTGTCATTTTTCATTGTTGACTGAAAATTGTTAAAAACCACAAAAATTTGTAGGTATAACTTTTTATTTAACGATTCTCACTCGTATAATTTTTTTATAAATGTTTACCAATAATTAGAGTTATTAAAAAGACCGTATTACGTATATATATTGATAACATTTCGTAATAATATATATAATTAATCTAAAAGAGAAATACTCACACTTATTAAATACTTGTTTATTTATGTATATTAACTTTAAAAATTAATAGTTTTATAGAAAAAAATTACTTTTTATTATTAAATAAAGACTCGTTGTAATTAAATATAAAACAAAATAATTATATTTAATAAAAGTTATATATTTTTTCTAACATGATCATATCGTGGTGAGTTCTAAATCTCCTTATAATTTAAGTGATCATAAATTTATTCAATGAAGAAAAAAAAATAATAGAGAAATTAAAATGTAAAAAATACTTTTTAAAAATAATCATTTTTCTAATTTTTTAAAATACTTGAATCCCATTTGTAAATTATATATACGAGGATTGCTAACATAATCTCATCTATTTTCTGTACAAAAAAAAAAAATCTTACCTATTTTTTAATTGAAGTGTGTTAGCAACTTATACTAAAATTTTAAGACAAGAAAATCACTCATTTTTTATGATTTTATATAAAGGATATTATAGTAATTTAATTTAATTTAAAAAAAATAAAGATATTTTTTCTTTCCTATTAACTTCATTCTTCGACTTATTTCTCTCTTTTATTAATTAATTTTTATTTGTTTACGGAGAGAGAGAACATCGTGTGAAGTGAGAGAGAAATGAGTTGAAAAAGGAATTTAATATGTTATTTTATTAAATTCTTTCTTCAACTCATTTTAACTCATTTCTCTTTCGTATTAAATTTCTTTTCCAACTCATTTTAACTCATTTCTCAAATTTCTTATCCAACTCATTGCTCTCCCATTTATTAAATTCTTTTTCTAACTCATTTCTTTCTCAAAACTCACAATGTTTCCTCTCTCCCTAAATAAATAAAAATTAATTAATAGAAAAGAGAAGTAAGTTAGAGAATGAAATTAATAGAAGATAGAAAATATTTGTATTTTTTTTAAAATTAAATTACTATAATATCTTTTATATATATTAATTAAATCAAAAGAAATGAATGTTTTTTTTTTATATAAAATTTTGGTATAAGTTGTTAACATACTCCAATTAAAAAATAGGTGATTTTCAGGGGTTTTTGGTGTATGGGCTAATACAGTAAATTTGTTTTATATATATATATATATATATTAAAAAAACTTGATTTAGACATCGTTGATTTTTTGTTATCACGTAAAAATGTAAAATATGTACCAGTTTTATCAACTACGAGTTACGACTAATCTCTTCGAGTTATCAAAGAACTTAATTATCCGACCATGCATCTTTAATAAAATATTCTCTTTCAGTGATTTTTTTCTTCTTCTACATAACTCGGAATCCGATACGTATATTCAAACCAACCAAACGTTAGTTATAATATTTAGCCATTTATTGTTTCTAAAAAATACTATATTTCTTTGAAATTGTTGAGTTGAATCCCGAAGCTGTGCAGTTCCTTTATTAAACCTGAGACGTGTTGTTCTCCCTCACATGCATGGTCATAACTCCACAACGAGGGCTATGTCACTATTACTATGTTCTGTGGGAGTTGGATGAAAGTAATTACTGCACATAGTTCATGAATGACCAAAACACAACATTGGGACTTTGTGAGTGGTCCCACACTAAGGTTTTCTCTTGCCCTTACCATCCATCACGTACATATATATCTATGTGTATGCAAGCTGCTGGCTGGCTACTACTTATGTTATTTCTTTCCCTCTTTCATTTCATTCCAATTTCCAACCAAACCCCGTTTTCAGAAATGGAGATAGAGCAAGAAGCAAGTAGGAATGAAAAGGGTGTTGGTGAGTGTGGTGAAATGATGAGGGTTTGTGATGATAAGAGAAGGATGTATTATGTTGTGTGGGAAGATTTGAGTGTTGTAGTTCCAAACTTTGGGAATGGACACACAAAGAGGTTGCTGAATGGGTTGAGCGGATATGCTGAACCAAACAGAATCATGGCTATCATGGGTCCTTCTGGCTCTGGAAAATCTACTCTTCTTGATGCTTTGGCAGGTCTCTATCTCCCTATATCATTTGCAAGTGTCTGCATGTTTTTTTTGTTTTTTACCTGTGTACCATTTTCTTGCCAAAAGATTCTCTTTCATCTTTGGTTTTTTTATTAAAGAATTTCGTACCTAATAACATTGAGATGCTTTTATGACTTAAACAACGAACCTTTGGCTTTTGGTTACCTTGATCTGCACCATGGTACGTACGTAAGATTTTATTTCTCCGTTCCACCTGATTTTCATTCATATTCATTTTAAATTTTGTACAGATCTTAATGTGTCTTGTCTTTCGTTTTATCTTATTCCATCTAAGCGAAAGTTTGTGTGATCTCTTTCATACGTAATACTATTACAAATAGAATTTGTGGGGTATTTAGAAGACAACCTAGTTTCAATCAATAACTCAAAGCTACTAGGAAGAGAAACTGTTTTTATTAAACACTATTTGCAAACACAAAATGAAAACATTTGGGAAAGTGAAAGTATGTGATCTCTACCCAAATCTTTTCTCTTTCGAAAAGGATTTACTGATATTTCTCGTTATTTTGCATTAACTTTCTTGAAATCAAGGTTGAACGTAATCAGTTAATAATGTATTTACAATTTATTTGAAGTTTTTTTTTTCTTCTTTCTATTATATAGTAGTATTTATTCTATTTTTTTCCTCCTTGTTTTATGTTCATCTAATCAAAACAATCATGGATACAAATCCTATTTCATTATAGCCTCTATTTTATTTTTTAAATATTCCTAAACCATTAGAATTGATTTATTAATAACGAAAAGTTGGAATATAATATATATATATATAGGATAAAAATAAATTTTAAACATATATTAATACTTTTATTTATTTAATAAATTCATTGACTTTTAATTATTATCAAACATTTTTATCAGTTATTGGAATAGGAAAAATTCAATTAATTGTACTCTATGGGAAGATTTTTCTCTAAAATGGAGCAAAATCTTCATAACCATACCTCAAATAGTTTAATCATTGTAATTTTGTAACTTTGAAAGTTGAAGAAACATATGGCTACATATTTTAATTAGTAATTTTTTGGAAAATGTTATATATATATATATATATATATATATATATATAAAAGTTGTTATTCAAAACTTGTTGATGTCTTTATAATCTTTATTATTGATAAAAAAAATGTTTTTTCATATCTCAATTTTTCTCTCCAAAAAAGTGCATAGATGTATATAATTTGCGGTTTCTACTTCGCACCACGAATGAGGAATTTTTAACACCTCATTAGTTGCCATAAAAGCTTAGATTAAAAAGCTTTTGATGGTCATATAATTGAAACAGAGAAAGAGAAATATTAAAAGGGGTATGAAGAGAAACGTTGATGAGAATGAAAAGGTGCTCATTCCACATTTTTTTGGTGATTAAAATGGTAGGTAGTCCATCCCATATACTTAAATGACTTGCCAACATAGAGAAGCCAAAAGGAAAAAGATAACGTTATGAACCCTTTATTCATGGTAACACTTTCCAGGTGAAAGGTCGAAATACTGTAGATTTATACAAAAGGGAAAAAATTAGCAATGGAGGCATTAAAGTGTAGAATTTTGTTTTTTGATTTCAAAGAGCAAAGCAAAACATTGGTATTTTTGGAAAACAATTTAAGATAGGGACGGATGCTAATGTGGGTCATTAGATGATATCTCCCACGGTGGGAGACCAATTTTAAATAGAGTTTCCCTTTTTTTTCTTCATTTTTTTCTCTCTGACCCTAAAGCTTACACTTCTTTTCTCCAAATCCAAACCCAAGGTCCACACCCTCTTCCTCTCTACTCAAAGCTTCTTCTTTCCAACTCCAACAAAACTCCTTTTTTTCTGAAAAACACCTTAACCACAAGAATTCCCTCACTAAATTAATCCGTCTAAAGTACAGGTCCGATTCAATGATAAGGCAACTAAAATTGAAATTTTAAGTTTATTAATAAAATAAGTTATAAAATGTAGATGTTTCATTTAAGGTACATTTACTATTGGACCGACATTCTAAAATAAGATGGAAAAAAAATCAGCCATTAGGTTTACTGATATAGTTCCAATTTATTTATTACAACGGTTTAAGCAAAGCAATGCAATAGTCTAGTACTTTGGTAACACAGGAGGATTACTTCCCTTGACCTATCCTTTTCCTCTTTCGGAAAAAATGATCAGTTCATTTATTGACAATTGAGTACCAATATCTACCCTTGCCAGGGGATTCAATGTTTCATTATTTTTCATGGACTTTGATTACAGAAAAATACTTCAATTTTATAAATTTCATGTTTACTTTTTTTTTTTATATAAATAATTATAATTATAATTATTTTCACTTTATTACTTATTTTCAAATATTTATATAGAAAATAGTAAAAATAAGATTCTTTTTATCTTCATTATTTCTTAAACAAATCATTAAAAAGACATAAATTAATTAAAAAAGAAGATACATTTACGTAATTATTTATTAAAAGAATAAAAAATAAAAAAATACTTTCTTAAATCAATGTTGAAAAAGGAAAATAAGTGTGAAATTATTTTATCATCTAAACATAAGCCTCAGCTAAACATGCTTGTACATAATTAGCACAATTAAAAAGAGAATATTATACATTAATTGTTGATGTTAAAAAATATACTATCTGCCAATAAAATATCATCTTAGATATGACTTTTGCAATAATTATTATAAAATTTGAAAATTATCATGTATAAAGATTTTTTTAATTAGTTGATTATATAAAAAAAATCATATATATTGACAATGAATAAATTACTTTCCCTTAGAAAAAGGTGAAAACTAAATAAAATAATCAAAAACTCTCTGAATAGATAGACCCTGGTTTGAAAATTGGATAGGAACAAATGAACTTGTAATTAAGCTAGTTTCTTATTTATGAAAAAATCTCTGTATATTATGTACTTCATCATCAGATTGGTATTCATTGCAGGTAGACTATCTAGAAACGTTATCATGTCTGGAAATGTGGTTATAAATGGAAAGAAGAGGAAATTGGACTATGGGGGTGTAGTAAGTAACCAACATATTCCAGTTGAAATTTACTTTGTTGTTATTTTTTGTTGATTAGCTTGTTAATGTCCTCATCATAGAAATTTTTTATCTATCTATATAGGCTTATGTGACCCAAGAAGACACATTGCTGGGAACACTAACAGTGAGAGAGACAATATCTTACTCAGCCAATCTAAGGCTCCCATCTAGCATGAGCAAAGAAGAGGTGAATGACTTGATAGAGGGAACAATCATGGAAATGGGTCTTCAAGAGTGTGCTGATAGGCTTATAGGGAATTGGCATTTGAGAGGCATAAGCGGTGGAGAAAAGAAAAGACTAAGCATAGCACTTGAAATCCTCACAAGGCCTTCCCTCTTGTTCCTTGATGAACCCACCAGCGGTTTGGACAGTGCCTCAGCATATTTTGTTGCTCAAACTTTGAGAAACATAGCTCATGATGGCAAGACTGTTATCTCTTCTATACATCAGCCAAGTAGTGAGGTTTTCTCACTCTTTGACCATCTCTTTCTTCTTTCTGGAGGTCAAACTATTTACTTTGGAGCAGCACAAAAGGCAGTTGAGGTACATTTATTTTTCACATTCTAAAAACTCTGCTATACTAACGGCTAGCGTTGAACTAACTTCTGTTTATAAATTGAAAACTGATAAATGTCCAAACTATTTTGGGGTGAATCGGATAGAGAAAGTATAGGTTGTTAGAACGTAAAATGTATATTGCAAAACGAGAGAACCACAGTATTTATACAAGAGATAAGGAACAGAATAACCAAAACAGAATAACCAACACAACAACATAGGTGATATGTAATATGATAAAAAAAATGTAAAGAGAATTAAAATTTGTTTGATTTTTTAATCAAGAATTAGTGTTCAATTTCTCTCTTATACATATGGTGTTAATTAAAGATACTACTTTACTTTAAAAAAAATAGATTGATATAGTGGGATAAAGTTATACCACTTAGTTCTTCTTCAAATTAATACTTTTTTTTTCTTCTAATAATAAAAATTCAAACATCTTTTTGTAATGATAATTAAAATTCTATTTAGATTCAGTGTGTACACGTACGTATAATTAATAACATTTTAAGACTTTAGACTGAAAATTTGGACTGAAATTCTACTCAGATTCAAAAAGTTAATGCTCGACTTGATCAATTGGTAGAATCTGAGAATACTTTGGAAGACTTATATGCCAAGTGCGAGAAAATTTGATAGAAGTTTTTATATTAGAATTTTTAACATGGTTCTCGTCTTCGATATATGTTTCAATGCAAATTGTGTAGTTTTGATATAAACAGAACCATGTGTTTCGAACCTTAATGGGTTATTAAAACCTGACAAATTTATCATATATTTCCGCAGTTCTTTGCCAAAGCGGGATTCCCATGTCCAAGTAGAAGAAACCCTTCAGATCATTTCCTCCGTTGTATTAATTCAGACTTTGATGATGTCACAACCACTATGAAGGCCTCCCAAAGAATTCATGTATATATCTCTAACGATTTGTTTAATCTATATATTCAAGTTTCATAATTATTTGTCTGTTTTACTTCCTTGTTTGTTAAATTCTTTTTTCCCCTTCTACCTGCTTTTGATATTATTCTTCCGTCTAAGACTCCTCATATTGTTTTCCCTGCTCTAGAGCAAATTCAATTTTATTGTTAGAAGGTGAACTTGATGCAAAAGAAACTTTACCTATCTAGCTGGAACATATTTAATTTTGCAGGATCCTCAAAAAATCATAGAAAGCTCAAAAGGTAGCTTACATGTATCTTGAGTCAAGAATCTGTTATCCGAACAGTTTGATACGTATGAATTATATTCTTAACCTAACAAAAAAATATAGTAAATATGACTTTTAAGGTTGTCGATTCTTTTATTCCAGGCTCTCGGCGCCTGTTTGAGACCGTAGAGAGCTTTCTTCGACTTAAACACCTTCTCCTCTTGTCCTTCTATTATAAACCCAGGAGGTTGCAACACATACACCTCCTCTTCAAGGGGCCCATTTAGAAATGCTGATTTAATGTCAAGCTGATGCAATGTCCATCCTCTTGAGCTTGCAATAGCGACAACTGTTCTTATCGTCTCAATTCGAGCAACAGGAGCAAACACTTCTTTGTAGTCAATATCGGGCCTTTGAAGGAATCCCCTTACGACCAACCTCGCTTTATACTTTACAATCCTACCTCCTGGATCAGTTTTGATCTTAAAGACCCATCTCACACTAATGGCCTTCTTTGATTTCGGTAAGGATACTAGCTCCCACACTTGGTTTTTCTCCATCGACCTAATCTCCTCTGTCATAGCATCAACCCACTTCCTGTCCTCAATAGCTTCTTTAAAACTAACAGGTTCAACCTCCGAAAATAATGCAAAGTGTACAATGTCACCATCTTCATTGACATTTGCATCTGACGTCATTTCAAAGCCTTTGAACCTACTGGGAACTTGGCTGTTCCTTTGAGATCTTCTTTGAATTGGGGATATGCTTCTACCTCTTGCTGAATCAACTTCCTGATTCTCATCAATTTCAGCCTCCTCAGAATCAATGACAACACCATTATATCTGTCATCTGAACTTGACTTCCAATTCCATCTTCTCGATTCATCGAACACAACATCTCTACTTATCACAATTTGCTTACTAATTGGATTAAGCAACTTGTAACCACCAGTTTTATGGTATCCTAACAACACCATCTGCTCCCCTTTGTCATCCAGCTTTCTTCTTAATTGGTCGGGTACATGTCTGTAACAGATTGAGCCAAACACTCTGAAATGGCTTACGTTGGGTTTATTTCCAGACCATGCTTCTTCTGGAGTCACTCCCTCCAGCCTCTTTGATGGACTTCGGTTCAAGATGTAGGTGGTTGTTGACACAGCCTCACCCCACAAATACTTTGGTAGCTCCTTACTCTTTAGCATACTCCTTACCATGTTCATTATAGTTCGATTTTTCCTCTCTGCAGTCCCATTATGTTGAGGTGTATATGGTGGGATAACTTCATGCTCAATACCCTCTTGATCGCAAAACTTTTGGAATTCTCTTGACATGTACTCACCTCCTCCATCAGTTCTCAAAACTTTGATCAATTGGCCACTGTTGCGTTCCACCAGCACCTTAAACTTCTCAAAAACTTCCAAGACTTCACTCTTTCTTTTGATTAGGTAAATCCATAATTTTCTAGAAAAATCATCAATGAAAGAAACGAAATACCTATTTCCTCCAAGGGACTCAGTTTGGATTGGATCGCAGACATCTGAGTAGACTACTTCCAACTTCTCTTTTGATTTTATCGACACATGCTGTTTGAACGAGTTTCTTGACTGTTTACACTCCAGACACTCTTTACAAACTTCACTAGGTTGATTAATGTGGGGCAATCCTTTCACCAAGCTTTTTGATTTCAAGGTATGTAAGTCTTTGAAGTTAAGGTGTCCAAATCGATAGTGCCAAAGCCATTCCTCTTTATTGATTGCAGCTGCAAAACACTCATGATCGAGTATGTCGATATCGACCTTAAACATTCGATTCTTGGTCAATGGTGATTTTAATAACAATCGATGTTGACTGTCATATATAGTAAGCATCTTATCTTCTAACTTCGATACATATCCTTTCTCAAGAAGTTGTCCGAGACTAAGTAAATTACTTTTCATCCCGGGAACAAACAATACATCAGTGATGAAAGCCCGACTATCATTCTTTCTCCTGATCAGAATTTTTCCAACCCCTTCTGCTATCATGACTCGATCATCAGCAAATTTTACTTTGCTTTTTATTGATTCATCAAGATTTACAAACCAATCCTTCCTTCCTGTCATATGTGTCGAACATCCCGTGTCAAGATACCAGCAATTGTCTCCTCCACCTTCCTTTTGAGTCGTGGTAACCATTAAAAGGACTTGTTCTGAATCGTCATCTTCCTCTTCTCGAGCAAGTCGGGCTTCGTCCCTTCTAGGATTAGGATACTGACAACTCTTGGCATAGTGACCGAGCTTATTACAATTGTAGCATTTAACGTTTCTTATGTCAACATTACGCCCTTTCTTTTGTTGATGATCAACGTTCTTTCTGGTATCTTGAACCTCTTTTCCCTCAATTTTGCCTAAATCTTGCCTCGGTCTATCTTTATTTTTCTTTTTCTTCTTTGATACATCCTTTGGGTTAGACTGAGCTTGAAGGGCTTGTTCAGCCTTTCTTTCCTCACCCCTTTCGATCATCCTTTGTTCATGTGACTCTAAAGAACCTTGAAGCTCCTCAAGACTCAACTCCTCAAGATTCTTTGACTCCTCGATCGCCACTACAATGTGATCAAACTTTGCAGGTAGTGTACGCAACACCTTTTCAATCACCTGCAACTCAACTAGTTTTTCCCTAAGACCTCTCATTGTGTTCACAATTGTTTGAACACGAGTAATATACTCAACTACAGTCTCATTATTCTCCATTGACAAAAGTTCGTATTGCCGCCGTAACGTTTGAAGCTTTACTTTCTTGGTCTTGGTTGCACCACCATGCACTTTCTCAAGAATAGCCCATGCCTCCTTTGATGTCTCAGCTTTTGAGAGCCTCTCAACGTTGGCTGCATCCACACTTTGATGCAAGATGAACAAAGCCTTGCAATCTTTCTTCTCATTCTCCCTATACGCAGCCTTTTGTGCCTCTGTCCCACTTGATCCGACGTGCTCATAGCCTTGTTCAACGAAATTCCATACACGTTGAAATCTCATAATAACTCGAATCTGTATCTTCCAATTATCATAGTTCTTTGTCGTGAGAATTGGAAGATTCGTGGGAATGGACCCTGATATTGTTGCCATTGCAGCAATAATCCCTTCAAGTCTAAAACCTTTCTTGGTTGGAGGGGACTTCTTTCAAACCACAGCTCTGGATACCAGTTGTTAGAACGTAAAATGTATATTGCAAAACGAGAGGACCACAGAATTTATACAAGAGATAAGGAACAGAATAACCAAAACAGAATAACCAACACAACAACATAGGTGATATGTAATATGATAAAAAAAATGTAAAGAGAATTAAAATTTGTTTGATTTTTTAATCAAGAATTAGTGTTCAATTTCTCTCTTATACATATGGTGTTAATTAAAGATACTACTTTACTTTAAAAAAAATAGATTGATATAGTGGGATAAAGTTATACCACTTAGTTCTTCTTCAAATTAATACTTTTTTTTTCTTCTAATAATAAAAATTCAAACATCTTTTTGTAATGATAATTAAAATTCTATTTAGATTCAGTGTGTACACGTACGTATAATTAATAACATTTTAAGACTTTAGACTGAAAATTTGGACTGAAATTCTACTCAGATTCAAAAAGTTAATGCTCGACTTGATCAATTGGTAGAATCTGAGAATACTTTGGAAGACTTATATGCCAAGTGCGAGAAAATTTGATAGAAGTTTTTATATTAGAATTTTTAACATGGTTCTCGTCTTCGATATATGTTTCAATGCAAATTGTGTAGTTTTGATATAAACAGAACCATGTGTTTCGAACCTTAATGGGTTATTAAAACCTGACAAATTTATCATATATTTCCGCAGTTCTTTGCCAAAGCGGGATTCCCATGTCCAAGTAGAAGAAACCCTTCAGATCATTTCCTCCGTTGTATTAATTCAGACTTTGATGATGTCACAACCACTATGAAGGCCTCCCAAAGAATTCATGTATATATCTCTAACGATTTGTTTAATCTATATATTCAAGTTTCATAATTATTTGTCTGTTTTACTTCCTTGTTTGTTAAATTCTTTTTTCCCCTTCTACCTGCTTTTGATATTATTCTTCCGTCTAAGACTCCTCATATTGTTTTCCCTGCTCTAGAGCAAATTCAATTTTATTGTTAGAAGGTGAACTTGATGCAAAAGAAACTTTACCTATCTAGCTGGAACATATTTAATTTTGCAGGATCCTCAAAAAATCATAGAAAGCTCAAAAGGTAGCTTACATGTATCTTGAGTCAAGAATCTGTTATCCGAACAGTTTGATACGTATGAATTATATTCTTAACCTAACAAAAAAATATAGTAAATATGACTTTTAAGTATTCAATGTTACTATAATGTCAATATATATATATATATATATAGTTCTACAGTTATATGAGGAGGGTTCAAATGACACCGGTGTAACTTTAACTAAGTGTTACACCGCTTAATAACTTTATATTAATTGTGAATTTTGAAAATCCAACCGTTAGATTGAAAGTTCATATCTCTTAGATCATATATGTCAAATTTTATATTAATCTAAGATGATTTGATACTTCATTCTCATAAAACAAAATTGACGTAATATATACATTTCAAAATATACTAAAATATAAACACTTTGATTACCTTCAAGTTGTTGTTCAATTTTAACAAAATTTGACATATATGATCTAAGAGATATGAACTTTCAATCTAACGGTTGGATTTTCAAAATTCATAATTAATATAAAGTTATTAAGCGGTGTAACACTTAGTTAAAGTTACACCGGTGTCATTTGAACCCTCCTCATATAACTGTAGAACTATATATAATTTTATATTAATCTAAGATGATTTGATACTTCATTCTCATAAAACAAAATTGACGTAATATATACATTTCAAAATATACTAAAATATAAACACTTTGATTACCTTCAAGTTGTTGTTCAATTTTAACAAAATTTGACATATATGATCTAAGAGATATGAACTTTCAATCTAACGGTTGGATTTTCAAAATTCATAATTAATATAAAGTTATTAAGCGGTGTAACACTTAGTTAAAGTTACACCGGTGTCGTTTGAACCCTCCTCTAGTTATATATATACGACAATTACAAAATTGAATGAGATACACAACGGAAAAAAATAAAAGACTATTTATTCATTTAACCAGGTTATTACTGTAATAAATCTCTTCCTTTATAAATTGCTATTCTTTGACTATCTTCTGTTCCTTTTTTAACCCAGGAAGGAATATCAACGGGATTATCAACTGCAGCAATCAAAGCAATTCTCATAGAGAAATACCGATGGTCAGAACACGCAACCACCGCAAGAGCAAGAATCAAAGAAATCTCAAACATAAATGTAATTAAGTAGCCCTTTACTCATAACATGGTATAATACTAACTATTGTTCACAGACCATACGTGATATTAATTATTTGCATGATCTGAAACTGTTACGGCTAGCTAGGCTGTGGAAATAAAAAACTATTAGGAAATAACAGTGATATCGAGTGTCATTAGAAACATATATAATTTGTGGGAAGGTGCTGATCCGTTAAATAACAAGAACATTTTATGTAAAGAGCAAGGAATTAATGCATGGTGTGTTACACGCAGGAAGGACGTGATTTTGAAAGCAAAAGCAAATGCGAAGCAAAATGGTGGAAGCAACTATCAACGCTGACTCGTAGATCATTCGTGAACATGTCTAGAGATGTGGGATACTACTGGATAAGGATAACTATCTACGTTGCCTTATCATTGTGTGTTGGAACAATCTTTTACGGAGTTGGGTCGAGTTATAGAGCCATTTTTGCAAGAGGAGCATGCGGAGCTTTTATATCAGGTTTCATGACATTCATGTCCATAGGGGGCTTCCCATCTTTCATAGAAGAAATGAAGGTATCAAATGTTTGATACAATATAAATCTCCAATTATGGTTATGGCATTTAGTTTATGATGAGTACTTAACTACAGGTGTTCGATAAAGAAAGACGAAATGGGCATTATGGCGTTGGAGTATACATTTTATCAAATTTTCTCTCTTCATTTCCCTTTGTGGCAGTGATGTCCTTTGGTACTGGGACAATAACCTATTACATGGTTAAGTTTCGTTCAGAATTTTCACATTTTTTGTATATTTGTCTGGATCTTCTTGGCTGCATCGCGGTTGTGGAGAGCTCCATGATGATTATAGCTTCATTGGTTCCCAACTTTCTAATGGGATTGATAATTGGAGCAGGATATATTGTGAGTGTACTATATTATATAAGACCATTTTTCATTGAAACTAAATCTTATGGTGCTGATTAAGGAGTGTGTGTGCAGGGTATTATGATGATGACTGCTGGCTATTTCCGACAGATCCCTGATCTTCCCAAATTCTTCTGGCGTTATCCAATATCATACATCAATTATGGCGCATGGGGATTGCAGGTAGAAAATATTATAAAGTGCTTGATCCAACTGATAACTAAATAGTTTATATATCTATATATACGTGTTAACAAATGAGATAATTTTATAAAAATAGTTTGTTTTTTCTGAAGTGGATCAATTTGTTGAGCTTAATTATATAGTGATATGCATGCAGGGAGCTTTCAAGAATGACATGATTGGGATGGAGTTTGACTCCTTAGAACCTGGAGGCCCAAAACTGAAAGGAGAAATGATCCTCAAAACCATGCTTGGCATTCAAGTTGATAATTCAAAGTGGTGGGACTTGGCTGCAGTCATGATCATCCTCATATTTCTCAGAGTTCTTTTCTTTTTCATTCTGAAATTTAAGGAGAGAGTTGCACCTTTCCTTTATGGTATCTACGCCAAGCAAACACTTCACCGCATCAACAAGCGACCTTCGTTCAGGAAAGCACCATCTTTCCCTTCAAAGCGTCACCAATCACTGCATCCCTTGTCTTCTCAAGAGGGTCTCAACTCCCCTATTCATTAGAAAAACCATCATTTGCTGATACACACAACAATCACACCTCATACTCCCAATATTATATATGTAACGTTGTATAATGAGGAATACTTTGTCTTCACAATTCACATGGATAAAATATATAAGCAAAATATATTTTATATTTATATATGTTGCATGAAAAAACATTACCTCATGTATTAATTATAACAAATTATCAATATCAATAAAAGTAACAAAGTTAATCATTTTAAATTAATTATATCGTAAATTTAATTTTTATTTAAAAAAAATTCTTTACTTTAAATGATTGTTATATTTAATGTTTATTATAAATAAATGAATAAAAAAATAGAGTTAATAATAAATCAAATCAACTCTTATGTATTAAATATTAATCCCCATCTTACGTAAAAATATTTATTTGATTTTTTTCAATGAAAAAATTTTAAAAGAATTTTTAACTGTTTATTTGATTCAATTTTTATTTATTATAATTATTTATTAATTATATTTTAATATTTTAAAATAAATTATGAATAGATAAAATAATTTATATTACAATACAAATTATTATCCATAAATACAAAGTATAATTTGTAACGATCCAATAGACCACCACACTAATTACTAAACAACTGTTACGTAGTAAAACACTAAATACCAACACATCAAAATTAGAGTTTATATATAATTTATTATAAGTTTTGACTACACATAATAAATATTTAGCCTATATATTATATAGACTAAAATACTAATTAAAAATATAAAAGAAATTTATGTATAAGTAATTTTAAAATTTAATAATGATTATTTATAATTAATAAAAAAATTAATTTACTGTTTATAATTAGAATTGAAAGTAGAAAATAATAAATTATAAATATTGAATAAAATCTAATGATATTAAATGAAAAATAGAGTAAATAATAGATATATCATTCATAAATAATAGAAATATAATAAAGAATATAAATTTTATAATATTAAAATAAATAATATAATATTAGTGATGTATTAAAAAAACAGTTAAAAATTAAATAAATGAAAGACAAAGTTGTATATTTATATGTATTGTATAAAAAATATATTAAATAATAAACCATATAAATTATTTACCGAAAAATGTTTCTATTATATAAGTTTATTTTTTATTAATTTTAAATTATATTTAAATTATTTACCGAAAAATGTATCTATAATGTTATTTAATGCTACTATTATTTTTACCAATTAATTCAAGGAATATTTTTAATATAAATTTAATTTTATTACATTATATATTAATGAAAACTAACTTTCTTATTTATTTTTATTAATTATTGATAAATTAATTAATTAATTTTAATATAAAAGATTGGAAGAAATAATAAATAAAATTTAAATTACTAAAACATTTTAACTGAATAAGTTAAATATTATGTATCTAAATATTATGTATAAATCATTTGTAGATATCTTGATATATGATACTGATGACTTTCATTATTGCATACGAAGGTATTTGAGAACCACGAAGAGGTAGAGATGCCGAAGGAGGCAAAATCTCATTTGTTGAAGAGTTTTTACGTTAATAAGGTTAAAATATATTTTTAGTTATCATAATTTTACTTATTTTATTTTTTATAATTTAAAATATATTTTTAAATTTTTTTTAATTTAAAATAGATATTTTTAATTTATATTTACAAATTTTTAATCATTTTAGTTTTTGTTATTAATCTTTTTTTTTTTATATGATAGAGATATTAATTCAACTTTATATATTTTATGTTAAATTTATTTTATTGAATTTGCCTTAAGTCAAGTATGTAAATATTTTGTACTATTTTTATGTCCTAATATAGGAAGCTTGTTATTGAAATAATTTTTTTACCTTCACAAAATTTAAAATATCTATATATTATGTCAATATAAAATGAATAATATTAAAAAAATTAATGATAGAGATAAAAAAATTTAAACAATTATAAGTATAAAGATTAAAAAAAACTTATCTTAAACTATACAAAATAAAAAGAATGGAAAATATATATATATATATATATATATATATATATATGAAGAATCTATTTTAAATTATAAAAATTAAAGATAAAATAAGTATAATTATAAAACTAAAAAAATATTTATACTTAGTAATAATAATGCAGTGATCTAAATTTCCTGAATTGCTTCCGCTTTCATTCATTTATTATTTATTCATCTGCTGAGCTGTTTTGTAGATAATAGTGAGCATGGCGCAAAGGAAGATTGAAAATGACGAGCATGGTGCAGAAGAAAGAAGGTTGAACATCGATGCAGATAGATAGATATAATTTGAAAATGATGAAATTAATGCAGATAGATACAAGTTGAAAAATAATGATGAAATTAATGCAGATACAAGCTGAAAAAGTATTGTGATCAGAGCAAATTTAAAATAATAATAGAAAAACTTATATGCGGTAAATAAACTATGAATTGAAGTCCATATTTAAAATTAAAGTTGTACTTCCCTCATAATAATAATAATAATAACTATTATTATTATTATTATTATATATTATTAAAGTAAAATTTATATAAAAAAATGACAGAGTAAAATTTTGATTTTAATTAGAAAAAATATCTGCAATATTTTTTTATATTGTATTTATCAAGTTTCGCATCTACTGAGAAAAATACTTATTATTATTAATTTTTTTTATTTTTAATGTATTTCTTATTTCTCCGTGTATTTATCTATATATATGATTTTGTGTTAATGTATATTGGACCGGATTAACATTATTTAATACAAATGGGCTCAAGTAACCCAATATAACTAATTTACCGGCATTCCATTGGCACCGGCCTCTTAGCTGTTTTTTCTTTTTTGTAATTTTATTGATAAATGTATTTCTTTCAAACTAATTTTTGAAAAATATTTACTGTCAAAACATATTTTTTTGAAAAGTATTTCTAAAAAGTACAGCTAACATTAAATGAAGTAGTTTTGTAATACTATAGAAAATAATTTCCGTAAAGTGATTATGTTCAAATATATAATAGAAACTATCTTTTATAATGTAACTAATTTAGTTAATATATATTGTTTATTTGTATATTTTTGTTTAAAAAATTAATACTGATTTTTATGAGTTTAACTTATATATTATATTTTCTCATAATAGTTTATTTTTGTTTAAAAAATTAATACTGATTTTTATGAGTTGAATAACTTGAAAAATAAACTATTATGAGAAAATATAATATATAAGTTAGATACAAATTAAATTATTGAACCAAAATCAAGTAAAATAATCAAACAAAAAAATTATGTTTGATATTTACAACCGGTGTCAGTTTTTCTTGTGCGATGTTCAATTTGTCCCTCATGTTTACCAAACATTAATCCCCTCAATGAACATCCTCTCAAAGGAAGCATGAACTGAAGTAGCTTAAAATATTCTCAAATTATTCCTAAAATAAAATTTACATAATTAAGCATCATAAAAGTGTGACGTAATAAACAAAAATATTTATGAATTTATTTGACAAGCATAAAGAATCACTCAAAACTAGACTCTACTACACACCTGTAGGGAGTTGTACTAGTACTTTTGGAGAACCTCCCTTTCAATTGTACTACACACCTAAAGGGAGTTGTACTAATACTTACGGATGTGAGGGTATGAGGTATGGATGGAAAATATAGCAGAAACAATGATAATGAATGTATATCCTTACACAATTGATTCAATTGCATGTGATATCCTCTAATGACATGGTCATGGTAGCAAACTTTTTAATAAGTTGGGATTAAGTGTTGAAGATCTCACATTAATTAGTGATATGATTAAATTAATATATATATATATATATATATATATATATAAAAGTAAAGAACAATTTTTACCAAACTAATTTTACAATGTTGAATTAGACTCTTAACACATTTTTTAAAATAATATCAAAATTTATTTTAATAATTTTTATTATTAAACTCCCAACTACACTATTATCGGGATCATTATCAAATTATTTACATATATTCAATGCTAGAAACTTTATGCTTAAGATGTTTAGTAACATATGCTATTAGCAATTGTGAATTATTAGATGCTTGAAGAAGAAAATGTTAGGAAAAAACTTTGAACTTATTCTTCAGTGTCTCACATAACCATGTTACATAAACAAGCTAGGATAAAAGAATAACATTTGTGGCTGGCCTATATGATAACATTACACAATTTCATCTCATACAAATTTAAGAAGACATATCATAGCACCACTACTTTCATCTTTATTTTACTTATACAATAAATAATATATAGTTAATGGTCGACGCATACTTACATAAATAAATAAAAAATGAGAGATCAAATTTACAAGAATGGTGATAATATATAAGAGACTATACAGTTAATGCACATCCTATTACTAACTAATTTGAGATAGATTTAAATTTAACTGTAGAACCAAATTAATTGAATTAGTAGAATAATTACGTTTGAAAAAAGGGAAAAAAGGGTGAGAGACAAAATTCATAAAATGGAGAAAGAATGAGAAGTAAAACCTTGATTGTTTATGAGACAAGTATATATGTACATCAATTCAATTTGTTGAGTTGAATCCCCACCCCTAGAGACGTATCGTCATTTTCCTTCACATGCATATACAAAACGTACGATGGCTGCGTCTCTATTACTATTCTGTGTGAGTTGGATGATAATAATTAATGGCCATACTTGACCAATGGCCCAAAATAACATTGTATTGTGACTGGCCCCACTAATTTTTGCTTACCCTTACAATTGAATATTGGATCACGTACATATCTATGTAATTTACTATACCACGTATATGCTGTATTTGTTTCCCTGCTCTTTGATTTGTTTACAACCAAACCCCGTTTTCATCAATTCGCTTTCAGAAATGGAGATAGAACAAGAAGCAAGTAGGAATGAAAAGAGTGTTGGTGAGTGTGGTGATGAAATGATGAGAGTTTGTGATGATAAGAGAAGGATGTATTATGTTGTGTGGGAAGATTTAAGTGTTGTAGTTCCAAACTTTGGGAATGAACACACAAAGAGGTTGCTGAATGGGTTGAGTGGATATGCTGAACCAAACAGAATCATGGCTATCATGGGTCCTTCTGGCTCCGGAAAATCTACTCTTCTTGATGCTTTGGCAGGTCTCTCT